TTTGAATAAATCTTTTTTTGGTGCATTGCTCTTGTGAAACTTGAACCATTAAAAAGTTTGATGAAACAGAGCCATGTGAAAGACCTCGAACAACAACGTTTGCAACTAGACAGTAAATTGCCTAGACAAAAATGTACTTAGACTTACACCCATTGCTCTCTATGTTTATTTAACAAATTAGGTTAGATGGTTATTGACATGGGTTAGCCCATAAAGGTTATAGCCCGCCATTTAGGGTCCAATACATAATTCAACTACCAAAGCCTAATGTTGCTGGAACTCAACATGGCATTAAGAACCAATGACATCTAAACACGTGGCAAGAGAAGGACAAGCCACATAAGCCGACAAAGATCCTGCAAAGTTATTGCACTGCACATCAGCCATTAATGAAGCCCCTTACAGCATTTATTGTGATAATCCCTCCCCGTCGAGACAAAACGACCTCACCATGAACAAGGCAAGCTAGAGCATAGACTTTCGGCCAAGATGACAGGTCGGAAGGGACAACGAAATGATTACTAGAGGATATAAGCAGACGTCGAAGATAAGAAGAAGGTTAAGCTTTCTATCTCTAATCTATCTCTACATTCCATCTCTCTTTCTAACTTGCTCGTCGGAGGGTTCGCTGGGGGACTCCCCGTTCCCTGTTGAACTCTTGTGCAGGTTCCTCTGTGGGCTTGGTACGTCGGATACTGGTTTGGGAAGCGTGGATCAGTCCGATTCGTTCCATCTGGAACACGCTGTAACATCAGTTGGCGCCATTTGTGGGAAACCTGCTGCTCCGTGTGCCAGTTGTGCTCATTGTCGCCGGAGACCCTTTCCCAAAAACCCTTCCTTGCCACCCACCAAGGTGGATGGTCACAACTAGATCCATGGCTTCTCACCACAATGTTGCCGGCCACCAAGCCGACCCTCCTAATCCAAACAACCACCCACAGTATTTCACCGAGCTCACCAACAGCATTAACCACCTAGCCGAGCAAAACCAAGCCCTGATTAATGCTCTACTCCAAAGAAACCTTCCTATGCCTGCTCCACCGCCTCCAGATATCCCACCCA